TGCACTAAAATGAATCCGACTAGTAATGTAATCTGACTCAGAATTGCATGAAAATTTGCAGCAACAGACTCTTGGTGGGCTTCTCTATACATCTGCACGCGTCATGAAAGTGAATCCTGTCAAAAGGACATTTTTTTCACAAACTCAATGCACATAAACAGCGACAATTGCCGTTGGACCAGTTTGAATTAACCGCAGGCACTTCAATAAATAGGAATAAAGTGCAGCCCATATACAAATTTAATGATCAAGAAAGCAATTTCAAATATTGATAGTTGGGTTCATTCAGAATTACCAACATGGGCATAATTTTAATCACCAAGTCAAAAGTAGATTGTCTCCCCAGTCAAGTGGTTACATTTTACGCAGGGTCGAACTGGTTTTTTATGTTGGTTGTACGAAGTTTATGTGGCATCACTCAAGTTTAGAAGAAGTCTGATTACAGAAAAAACCATTCAAACAAAAGTTTGCAACCATGAGTTGGACACAATTACATCAGTTTTACCAATTATCATCAAATGACAAAAAGCTTCTTAAAACCCATCTTACCTACGAACTTTCAGCAACTTCAAGCAGCATCTGATGAGATCCCAAATCGACTCCTAAGTAGAGCAATGCTTTTCTCTGTAGTTTTTGCAAGCTCGGGGATGGATGTTTTACAAACTGAAAACCTCACACGACAGAGAATAAGACAATTAAGATAGTTCCAGACTTAAAAGATATGATACATTACCTACAAGTTCAAGGATACAGATCGGAGCTATCATAACTTGTCGGTACTGTTTGCATACATGGAAGTATACACGTGTTTATGTTATGCTAGAACTGGAAAAGGCAATGGTTGTTATCCCATTTGTCGAATTTCATAACAGTGCACCACAAATTCTGAAAGAGAGATGCTAGACATTGAAATAGAGAAACAGAAGGTTGCACTTAAGCTGGCTTCTTAAACATGATTAAACTATTAAAATGACTTGATAAAATATGTACAAACTTACGACGAGATGCAGTGGTCTGTGCTTCCGCTATAAACTCCTCATATGAATCCTGAAACAATCACAAGACAGCCAGCCAGCCTCAAGACAAGAATTTTTTTTATGGATCAGCTATTGCAGGGTCTTAGATGCAAGTTGGAATAATAAATTGCGTGCTCACCTTCATTGCTTCTCTACCTTCATTGATTCGTTCAAAAATCTTCTTATATTCTTTCTCTGCCTCATCAATCACTTGTTGACATGCCTGAGTCTGAATCTGTTGAAACAAAAAAGATGTAGGCACGCTTTTCTACTTTCAGAAAAACATTACATTGGAAACACAAGATATAAACCATTGTATAAAGATCTTTCAGCACTTGACAGAAGCTAGGTCCAAATCATGGGATTAGCAGGATCAAAGAAAATGTATCTCTATTTACTTTTTAATAAATCTCAAACCCAAACAAAGGATCCAGTTCCACTTCTACTAATACTTAGAAAACACCACATGCGAATATGCTATTGTCGGCAATTCACCACAACTGTCCCAGCAGAAAAGAAAAAACTCAAGTGGTGGACTCCAGTGAAGATATTAAATCAACATATTCAGACAATATAGCTTTTCACAAACAGAACGTTTCCCGTTGATGTTAAGAACATGTATAAAATCAACTACAATCAATTACTCTGTGTAAAACCAAACCAAATGACCTCTGTTTGTCCAAATATACTGCATCCTTCAAATCTTACCAAAAATGTTTGACATAATAAAAATGCATAGGTGCTAAGATGTTGAGGACGGATTAGGTGCTTTAATGTGCATTGCCTAATTTTTAGACTTCGAAACAATATATTAAAAAGTTTAGCATAAGAAACAGATTTTATAATTAGGAGAATGCATCACTACATGTACTAGTCTGATAACATTCTTATCCTGCAGCAGCTTAAGCAAACACACTATCAGTATCAACCTATCCCCTCATAACAGAGACAGTATAAATGCATATCGAACAAATTATATATCTGAATAGAAACTGAAGTACATATTAGACACATAAATAACAGCATGAAGAAAAACTAAGGATTATAATTATTCTGTGATGTAACTAATATCAGGACTCACAATTATGCTTTAATCTCATATGCACGTATATGCCAAAGCCACATATGTATAGCAAAAAAGTAAAACGACAGAGAGGTGAGTTGAGGATCAGAAATAAATCATTTGATAGTATGATAATAGTACCAGAACTCAAGCAATTAGAAACAGACGTCCTCTCCAGTGAGAGAAATAAAAAACCAGAAACACCAAACGGATCTCAGATCCGGACATATTAAAATTGAACTTAAAAGGCACGAGTGTTGCGCGAGTACAAACCTTGAAGCGCTTCTGAAGACGAGACTCAGACGCCTCAATATCCTTCAGAATCTCAGAATGAGATAGCTCCAGCTGACGCTTGATGGATTCCAGATTAGAGGATGCGAGATCCTTCAGATCAGAAATCGTGTTCACGCTCTTCAGCGATCTCGGCGGCGAATTAGAGAATCCTGTAGGCTGCATCCGCTTGGAATTCGACGCGACTGCGCTGCCATTTTTGTTGCTCTTCTTCTTCTTCAGAGCCGAAGCGATTTCGGCAAGTCCGTCCAGATTGAAGTCGAATTTGACTGCGGGAGACTCCGCCGGCGACAGAGAGCGGCTCCTTTTCCCAGGCGCTGCGGTGGACGGAGGTGCCAGAGGTGTTGCTAGAAGCACCGCCGCAGATGATTTCCTGGTCGACCTCTTCCTCATCTCTTGTTCTCCCTCAACCGTGTGCTGCTGCGATTGAAATTTTTCGGAACGAGTTTGAAATTTTGGAGAATTTATAGAGGCGCGAAATCCATCAAATTCTAAAAAGCTCTGTGCGAGTATCGAGTACTGAGGAGCGACCAGCTATATAACTAACGAGTGAGGTCTTATGATGCGTGCTTAGACCATCTTTAACGGTGACCCAGTGACCCAATAACTGGTTACCAATTAAAAAAACATAAAAAGAAAAAAAAGAAAAGGTCATTTGTCCCATGTAATGTGTGGAGAATGGGACATTTGTCCCATTTTGATTGGATAAATATATTTTTTTTTGTTTAAAAAAATAAAAATGATATTAAAATTCGTATTTTTTTATTCTCTACAAATAGACTTGATATATTTTGGAATAAAATTATAATTTTTAAATAAATTGAAATAAAATAAATATTTAGGTTGAGTTGAGTTGGTGATAAAGATAAATTGAGTTGTAAGATTGAGTTGTGTAAGTGGAGGATAGAGAAATAATTTTTAATTATTAGATTGGGTTGGATTGGTTTGGGATAAAGATAGTCTTATGTATGCTATGGTTCACACAATTTAAAAATTTGGGGCTGATAACTAAAAACAAACTAAGGAGAGCGTCTCGCTCTCTCTCCGAACTCGTATTTGGTCAATAACTATAAATAAAGATTTCTCGTCTAAACTCCTTTTAGCTAACTAGTAAAGTGCACGTGCGATGCACGTGACACATAATTAATATTTTAATGTGATTGTAAATTATATTTTCTCTTTTTATGGTCTATTAAATTTTTTGCATTATTATTATCAATTAATCAAACACAAGAAGTACATTACATAATGGACAATGTCATATATATGAAAGTTAAAATATAATTTTCAAAATAATATTATTTAAAAGTCATGGTGAAAAATATTGCATGAAAATTTTGGTTGAAAAATCTTCATTATCTAAGTTAGTCTTGTTTATTTTATTTTTATTTTTATTTTTTTGGGGAGAAGATTGAAAACATGCACAGTAAAACTAAATTAAAATCTTCTACATGAATAATTGCATGTGATAGTTTATAATTTTGTCTTCTTATCTTATTGAATGAGACCCTTCTTCGTCATTATTTTTATTGACTAAATAAAACGGTTATAATTCAATTGACATATGTTAGCAAAGTTTTTAAATATTATTCATATTATCTTCCCTTTTTTAGAAAAATAGTTTTCATATGCTTTTTTCTACTTGATCTAATTAATTATAATTATTTTCATGAATTATAAATATATATTAAAATTCAAATTTTGGTCAAATTTTAGTTTTTTTTTTCATTCAAATACTATTATATTTTTCATGAACAATTACAAACATATAGCACACAATATAATTTAGATTTCAATAATCTTAAAAGACAATTCAAAAACATTGAAAATAATTTTTAGTAAATTATATTTTATTTTTTACTAAAAGAAATAAATTGATTTAAATCAAAGGGTCATATTATGTATAATTAGTGATAGTTTTGGCCTTCAGGTCACATTTAATTCTGAAATAATTGCGATTAAATAATTTGTGTAAATATGAATCAATTAATGTGTCGTAAACCACATAAAATGTATAATCTTAAGTTCATAACTACAAAACCTTCAAATTTCCTCAAATGTGTGATATAGATGAACCATAATATTATACAATTTGTTGAATTAAACATATATATACACATCTAAACTTGGTCAAATTTTAGTCTAACATTTGTTACTAAATGTAATTTTTTATTCATTTGAAGTTGTATTTATATATCATATGATATCTTAGGTTAGATGTAATTTCATTTACCTGATAATTTATCATAAAATTTATTGATTAATCCTTATTAAACTGAAATATTAGTTCACATAAATTCTGGTATGAGTCCGAATAGTCATTAAGGGGATTGATCTTCCATACTTTTTCTTAATAAAACTATATAAGTATGCAATAAAATATTAAACTTTTATTTATGTTGTTTTTAAAGTATTACAATTCATTTTGAGCGTAGTATACCTTTTGAAAATGTATGAATGTTTAATCGTTAGGTCAACCTAACAATTAATTTTTTTATAATATATTTTATTATAATTATGAGAAAAATCATTAAAACACCAAAATTGTTAGGTTATCTATAGTAATGTCGCTAACCTATTCTTACATTATTACACGACCTTTATTAGTTTCACACACAAACCACATCTTTTGATTAAAATTTATTTTATAATTATTTATTTAAAATTGTATATAAATGATCTATTATTCAATATTAATTTTTTGAAGTAATTTAATTATAAGAAATGACATTATAACTATTGCATTAATTATTTTTTTAATAAAGAAATAAATAGGAATTTTTTAATTAATAATATTTTTTTTTATCAAATTTTGAAGTTTTAGAAAATATATATATACATTTAAGTAAAAAAATTCTTAAAACATGTATTTAAGTCAAAATGAGAATTATTTTTTACACCAACAAAAAAAAAAAGAACAAAAATAACTACTTTTAATGAATAAAAATATTTATGAAACACTAAAAGATCTTTAAAAATGTAGACTTGAACTGAAATAATAATTCTTTTTTCCAAAAGCAGCAAATGAACAAAATTTTAAGTATGCAATAACTATCATATAATGTTATTTTCTATTAATTTTATCGAGCCTATAAAGAAAAATGCTAATAGTTAATTTAGACCAGCGTTCAAAGTACTCGACTAAAAACAAAAAAAGTGGTTGTTATAGTCTACATTAATAAAATAATGTCGCTTTAGGATAGATCTTTAATTTCTTTTTATTTTATACTATTTTCAAATTTTATCATATAAATACTCTTAAAGTATGGCTAATTACTTCTATAAATTTTGGCTAAAAATATTAATTTATACACATTATAGCTCATATTGTTAATTTGAAATTTAAATTCATGACATTAAATATCATGTTTAGTATGAATATATTTTCGTAATTCAAAATGTTCAAGAAACAATTCTTAATGGCATTAAATACTTTGTTTAGTATGAATATTTTGGCAATTCAAAATGTTCAAGAAATAACATTTTAAGAATATTATTGAAAATAGTTGCTATACTTAATGAAAGGCACATTTTAACAAAACTATGTAATACATAATTTATAGATTCATATTATAATAAAATATAATTTAATATTAGTTAATATTATTATTTTTTAGATAAATCTATTTACATGTTCAAATAATTTAATTCTAGCAATTAAATCTAAATACAAATAAAAATAAGAATATGCTTTTTGTATTTTAATATTTGCTATTACGTTCATAAATTACGTGCAAAATATATTTTTTGTTTCTTTCGGGTTATATCATGTGTTTTTCTTAATTATTTTTTTCCTAATTTGTCGTACTTGATACTCTATTTTTTCGAAAAAGGCATTTGAGTAGTTTTATATGTCATATTATTTGTTTTATTTTTTCTTTATATCAACTTTGTTTATTATGACATGTAATTATATAATTTGCAATATGAACTTGTTATACATTTAGAGTTTTAATAAATTTATATTATAATATCTTATTCTTAACAGTGTATGTTGTGAAATTAAGGAAAGTACTTCCCCTACTTTTTTATTTGTTCTACATATTAGTTAGGAATATTTTTTAATGTAGTTCAATCTTATTGAAATAGTTTGCATATCCTTTAATAATTTCTCCTTTATTGATAAGTTAATATTTTGTTTGCCTATTCAAACCTATTTTGTTTAGCTTTTAGGAAAGAGTTTTGTTTTTGTTAGAATACTATTTTATTGATATTTAATTGTGATTATAAATGAGATACTTATGGTTATTATAGTTTTGCCATTAAAAATAACAGAAACACAAGGACTTTTTTCTTCGTGCAATCGTACTTAAAACTTTGTTCCATTAAAATTTTAAATTGTAATTATAATTTTATTATTAAAACACAGCAAACACAAAATGATACCTTAAGCACGCCATTTAAATAAAAAGAAAAAACATTCATAACATGTACACGGTCAATAGTTTTTGCTTAAATAAAGAAAAAAATAGAACTATATTTTTTTTAAACGATACTTATTTTAAAATAATCTTATATACATTAATAAAATTTATAATGAATGATTTTTTATTTTTTTTTTGAAATATTAAGTGATTACTATTATTTTTCAAGAATACTAATCAATACACATTTTAACCCATATTTTTCATAATAAGTTTTTTTGGTGACCATAAATAGTTTAAAATTTTCAAAATTTTTTAGAAAACTTTTACTTTTAATATAAAATATAAGTAAAATAGAATAATTATAAATGACATCAAGAAAACATTCTAGATACACGAAAGTTCATACCCCCATGAAGGCCATGTATGATTACTTAGTATATTTGACATCAAAATAATGATTAGATCTTGCACAATCATTAAATGATGTCACATAAATTTTGTGTGAATATTTGCTCTTTTATGTATATTAATTGTAGACTACGCATATAAAATAAATAAAATAATTAACAAAAACTATACAACGTCAGATGAGTTTGAAAAAATTATATAATTGTACATAATTATTTAAGTCGTCAATATATGATAGTATAAGGATTACTTAAAGTGTATGTAAAAAATGGTTATTAAATACTATTTTATATTTTATTTATATTATATTTATGTACATCAGAAATCTGAATGTTCAGCTTGGCGCAATCCTGTATTTGTTTCATGGGTGATTAATAGAAAAAAAATCAAAAGAATTAGTTTATGTTATAGAAAAATAAAAAATAATTTGTGTATTTGAAATAATATTTCATAGTATGTAATCTATTTATGTATTATTATTTTATATTTAAATTATTCTATATATTTATATTTAAATTTTTATATATTTACTTTAGTTGACTAATTTTTTATTTTTTTTTGTTATTATGCAAACTTCTAATTTCACAATAAATTATACTTTTATCGCTTTTATTAATCACTATAATTATAGTTTTACTATTATAAATATATCAAATATAAAAGATATTTTAAGCAATCAACATTCATCTATTTGACAATAAGTACTCTTATTTAATTTTTCAGATGTTAGTCATTGTGCTATTATAGAGTAGTTCTTAT